ACTCCATTGCTGAAGAAAAAGCATATTGAACTCATTTAAAGTTTGCTGCAGAGGATATATGCAAGCTTTGGGTTCAGCTGTGTGTCTGGCGTCACTTCCCTTTGACATGTTTCGTCAATTAGACTTAATCCTTTATGATTAAGTCTAATTGACGAAACATGTCAAAGGGAAGTGACGCCAGACGCACAGCTGAACCGGAAGTGATCAAGCGTCCATTTTGGATCCTGGAAATCTCTATCTGAGACACAGGAGAGGATCTGCTGAGCATTTCAGGAGGTCTGGCTGGGCTGATTTCGTTTGATGGCAATTTTAAAGATGAAGATATATGTAAGCACATGAATAAAGTATATTCTGTTTAAGTTTTTACGGAATTACACTATTGTGGTTTCATTTATGGTGGGCATCGTTTGGAGACTGATGTGGAGAGGAGTATAAATACTGTGGCTGTGAAGATCCCTCTGGAGGAACTTATTATATATCAGTACCCTGCCTGGAGGATTACTAAGCTTGTGTTTATATATTTGTTTGGTAAGGGTATTTAATTTGCACACTCTAGAAGTGGACACGTTTTTCATCACTAGATTGTTTCAGCACGTGTTTACACAGCTATTCACCTTACCATATAGTGATCACGAGTGTTTTTGTGTGAATTACATGCGTTATGGAATGAATAATTCTAGTTGTTAAGGATAATACACTATGGTCTGGAGTTGATTCTTTGTGTTTTTTACATTTGGAATCTATTGCTGTGAACCTACATCATGCGTTCAAAGGAGCTGTCCATGCAAGTGAAACAGGCCACTGTAAGGCTTCAAAAACTAAACAAATCCATCAGAGAGATAGCAGCAACATGAGGACTGCCCAAACCAGCAGTTTGGTACATTCTGAGGAAAGAAGAACACACTGGTGAGCTCAGCAACATAAAAAGGCATGCATGTCCACGGAAGACAACAGTGGTGGATGTGAATAGGTTTTTGTAAATACCTGAAAAAAAACAAAACAAATTGCGCCTGTGTCGAAATATATATGGACCTAACTGTACATGACACACCTGCATTTTTTTTTTACACGTAGAGGCAGTTCACTAAAAGATAAATACTGCATGAATTTGAGTTAAAATAACTCGTGTTTTTTTTATTTCAAAAAGGAGTCAATTCAGTAAAAAAAAAAACAAAAAAAAAAAACACATGCATTATTTACTAACTGCAATACATATTTCTTTTGACACATTTATCATTAATTTTGGTGTTTTGTTTGCAGTTTAAAATAAATAAATGCAAAATAAATGCACACAGAAATATTCTGAACCTGAAAACATTCTAGTGTGCTTTCAGTCACAGAACCATCTCCCTTTGGTGAAATGTTACAATTTATTTTCATTCCTGAGCTCAGGGAAGAACATTTCCACACTGATACATTGTATACTTTTAAACTCACTGGCCAGTGCAGAGTTCCCCTCATTATTATTTTGTACATTGCTAAAATACAGACTGCCTACTGGCACCAGGTGGTAAATACCAAATGTGTGTGTTTCTTTAACCACTCACCCTCCAGAGGATTTACCCCCCTTCCTGACCAGGCCATTATTTGCAATACAGCACTGCATTATTTTAACTGACAATTGCGTGGTCACGCAACGCTGCACCCAAATGATATTGATGCCCTTTTTTCCACAGAAATGGAGCTTTCAGTGGTATTTGATCGCCTCTGCGTTTATTTTTTTGCGCTATAAACAAAAAAAGACCGACAATTTTGAGGGGAAAAAACAATATTATTGACTTTTTGCTATTAAACATGTCCAGCAAAAAAAAAATGTAAAAGTCAAATTCTGTTACATGTAGCGTCTACAAATGGCAGTATATATACACTGGAATATTTTTTAATACTAGTAATGGCGGCGATCAGCGACTTATAGCAGGACTGCAACGGGCACTCTGACACTGGGAAGGGGAGGGGGGAAAATGACTGTCACTGACATCCCCAGTGACACTAATAAAGTTATCAGTGCTAATAAAAAACTGACACTGGACTAATGAAACTGGGGAGGAAGGGGTTAACATCTGGGGTGATCAAATGGTTAACTGTGTGCTGTGTTTTACAGGGTAAGCACACTACTTTGTATTGCTCTGCTATGCAGAGCAATACAAAGCAGCGTGCTGGAGCAGACAGGAGTGATCAGTATTGTTTACATACAGACCTCTCCCCCGTCAGTGATACTCGGCTATTGCTAGGTGCCGGCGGGGAATCTCCGGCCAGGTCCTGGTGTTCGACAGCTGAAGCCGCCAGTGGCACGCGTGCACCCCCTACCTGGAAATGCAAAATAAACGTGTGTTTGTGTGTGTGTGTGTGTATATATATATATATGCGATTGTGCACAGCCCTGCCGCAGTATTTCTACTATAGGGCGGCAGGCAAATGGTTACTGAATTGCTTGAATTTGGTTGCAGGAGCCTGTAAAGCACTGCACCAGTGATCAGCAGATTGCTGTTGCCATGCGGTTCTCCTGCAGATCTGTCAGTTTATCTGCTTGCCCATACGAAATGTAGAGAGGAAGAATCAAAGAACTACCACAGTGCTCCACAGCCGACAGAAATCATTGATAGGCAGCAATGATGGCACTAATAGGCTGCACTGATGAGGAAGCACCGATAGCACTCTCTGGCATTGACAGGCATCACCGATGGACACTGAAAGGCAGAATTGGACACAGAGGACTCAATGATGGGGCTGCACTGATAATCAGGGCACTGTGTGGATTGCAGCTTGTCAGCTCTCCTCACCTGCTATCAGCATTAAGAGAGGACTACTGGTAACCAGCATTTCCTGTTTACATGTGATCAGCTGTGATCGGACACATCTGATCACATGGTAAAGATACTATGTCATTGGCTCTTTACCGCGATCGGTGATCCACTAGGGACACAGCACACCACCGATCACTGTGCAGCACGCCCCCAAGGGCATGCATGTGCTGCTAGAGTGGGAGCACTTTACAGAGAGCTCCAACCCATCCGTCATTTCCTGATACAGCGGGTGAAAGACGGTTAAGGGGTTTGTGATGCTGGGAGATGGGGTTTAGGGTCACGTGACCAGCGTGATTTAGCAGTCACATGATCAGAAAGCTCCTGATTACAAGTTAGCGATCTAAACCTTTCCGTGAGGCATTGGTGAATGTGCCAGGTACATGCAGGGCGGGCGCTCTCGGCACATCTTTTGTTTACATTGGGTATCCATATATGTAGCCCCTTGGTGCAAAGGCCCAGCTGCAGAGAAGCCACATATTTGTGTACAGTCGGTGCAAAGGAATAAAGCATCGTCTAAGGAGATTTGTATCCACCGCCCGCCCTATAGCAATATGACGGACGCAAGGTGGGTCTCTCGTTTTGGGAGGATGTCATATGATGTCCTCCTATTCTAACCGCGCATGTGCGGCTTCCGGAGCGCACAGCGCGGTGGTTGTTGTCAGTGCACTGTGTCCTTCGGACACAGCAGATCACCGATCCACAGAAAGAGCCAAAGATGTCAGCTCAGTCATGTGATCAGCTGTGTCCAATCACAGCTGATCACATGTAAACAGGGAAATGCTGGTTATCGGCATTTCTCTCCTCTCGAGCTGTCACGCTGACAGAGGAGAGCCAGTAATCGGCATTCCGCGGAGGGGACATGTACACTGATCAGAGCACTGATGATCAGTGTAGTCCCAGCAGTGCCACCTGTCAGTGCTCATCAGTGCCAGCTGGCAGTGCCCATCAGTGCCATGTGCCCACCTGAGCTGCCTTTCAGTGTCACCCAGTGCCACCTATCAATGCCAATCAGTGCCACCTATCAGTGCCATATATCGGTGCCTCCTACCAGTGCCCATCACTGCAGCCTCATTAGCACACATCAGTGAAGGAGAAAAAAACACTTATTTACAAAATTTAACAAAAACTAAGAAAAATTTTTTTTTTTCAAACTTTTCAGTGGTTTAAGAAAAAATAAAAAACTCAAGAGTTGGTTCAATACCACCAAAATAAAGCTCTGTCACAAAAAAATTATAAAAATTTCATATGGGTACAGTGTTGTATGACTGCGCAATTGTCATTCAAAGTGCAACAGCTCTGAAAGCTGGAAATTAGCCTGGGCAGGAAGGGGGTATAAGTGCCCGGTAGGTTAGTGGTTAGACACTGTAGTTTGACGCCGTTCTGGGAGCGTGTGCAGTTTTAAAACGTAAGTGTACAATCCAAACGCACACGTTCCTACGTCAAAAATGGCTGTGTGTCGGTCACATGCCTGATGAAGGGGTCCTGCGAGACTCGGAAACGTTGCCTTGCTGTATTGGTGATCCTCGGTGTGCTGGTGACATTCTCCCTTGCAGTTTTAAAACGTGACATGTTAGGTATCTATATACTCCGTGTAACATCATTTACCATACAAGGGTAATAGATTGTGTTTGAGTGCACTAAAATCCATCAAAGTGTATTTTTCCCCCCAAAAAATTGCATTTGACAAATTACTGCAAATACTGTGTGACATAAAAAGTACAAAACCCACCATTTTATTCACTAGGGCAGGGGACGCCAAACTTTATTAACAAAGGGCCAGTTTACTGTACAAACTTTAGGGGGGGGGGGGGGTGTCGGACTACAGCCAGCGGGACCAAAAAATGTCAGGGGGAGGAACAGCGCCCCGTCGTTGGCGTCTAGGGGGAGGAACAGCGCCCCGTCGTTGGCGTCTAGGGGGAGGAACAGCGCCCCGTCGTTGGCGTCTAGGGGGGGGGAACAGCGCCCCGTCGTTGGCGTCTAGGGGGGGGGGAACAGCGCCCCGTCGTTGGCGTCTAGGGGGGGGGAACAGCGCCCCGTCGTTGGCGTCTAGGGGGAGGAACAGCGCCCCGTCGTTGGCGTCTAGGGGGAGGAACAGCGCCCCGTCGTTGGCGTCTAGGGGGAGGAACAGCGCCCCGTCGTTGGCGTCTAGGGGGAGGAACAGCGCCCCGTCGTTGGCGTCTAGGGGGAGGAACAGCGCCCCGTCGTTGGCGTCAGTGGGGAGGAACAGCGCCCCGTCGTTGGCGTCAGTGGGGAGGAACAGCGCCCCGTCGTTGGCGTCAGTGGGGAGGAACAGCGCCCCGTCGTTGGCGTCAGTGGGGAGGAACAGCGCCCCGTCGTTGGCGTCAGTGGGGAGGAACAGCGCCCCGTCGTTGGTGTCAGTGGGGAGGAATAGTGCCCCATCATTAGTGTCAGTGGGAGGAATAGTGCCCCGTCGTTGGTGTCAGTGGGGAGGAATAGTGCCCCATCATTGGTGTCAGTGGGGAGGAATAGTGCCCCATCGTTGGTGTCTGTGGGAGGAATAGTGCCCCATCATTGGTGTCAGTGGGGAGGAATAGTGCCTCATCATTGGTGTCAGTGGGGGGAATAGTGCCCTGGTGTCAGTGGCAGGTAATATGTCCCCGTTGCTGACAGTAGGTGGAATAATGCCCCAAGGGCCAGATAACAGCAAGCAAAGGGCCGAATCCGGCCCCCGGGCCGCAGTTTGGAGAGAGGCCTCTGCGAACATTGAACGGTCCGGTGTGTAGCTCGGAGTCCTCCTGAGATCCCCCTGAGATGGGCGGAAGCCACACCAGAGGACCGGAACACACTCATTAGGACAATGACAACTCCGTGATGAAGATCCAGCAATGTCCGTCGCAGATTGTTCTCCTCCTCCTCCTTCCCGGACTGTGACGTATCCTCAGCCCAGCCCCGCTCTCAGCCAGAGGCGGTCTTCCCTCCGCCTCCTCCCACAACAAGCCCGTCCTCTCACCGGACGTCTGTCACCAACACGGCGCGGCTGTTCACCGCCAGAACTCCGTTACGCGGCGGACACCGGAGAGGGCAAAGGGCGGAAAAGCCGCTGAGGTAATGGGTGAGGGGAGAGCCCAGCACGCGCCTTCTTCTATCCTCCAGTCCTGAGAGCTCGGGCGCCAGAATTCAAACTCCGAACGGCCTCAGTAAGGAGGCGGGAAAAGGAATTCCTGATACGCGATTGGACGGAGGCTGAACGTTTTGCCATGGTTACTTGGTCACTCCCGAGAGCGGAGGAAGGCGGTTGGCTGTGAGAGTGGAGAGGGTGTGGTAAGGGGCGGTGCTGTGTCAGTGAGGACTGTGTGACTTCTTCAGCCATGTAGTAAGGGTGGCGGGCTTGTGTGAAGTATTTATACTATGAATGAGACTACATGCACACAGGTGGGTGTGGCCTGTCTGAGGCGACTTTCACACCTGAGGGTGTCGTAAAAGAGTGAAAACCGTGTGTTGTGCTTGTGGTGCCAGTCATTGTTGATGACTCCCAAAGTTGGGGTTGTCACCTCATCCCTTTAAACCTGAAGACATTAATGACACAGAGTACAGATAAGGATCGACCTGAGTTTACTGACCACCCTAATCAGCCACAGAACCTGTGTCATTAATGTTTGGTGGGATGAGGTGACAACCCTAACCCAGGTGTGCACTTTTGGCGTGTAAAGGCACACAGTAAACACCCAGAACCAACTTTGATGTGTGTCGGGCAGCCCATTAAAACAAACAGGCCAGGGGTCTCCAAACTTTCTAATGAAAGGACCGTCTACTGACCTTCAGACTTCATGGGGGCTGGATGAACCCAGTGGGAGTAAACAATGAACAATCTTTGGTATTAGGGAGAGGAATAGTTGGTGTCAGTGGAAGGAATGGTGCCCCGTCGTTGGTGTCAGTGGAAGGAATGGTTCCCCTGTCGTTGGTGTCAGTGGAAGGAATGGTGCCCCGTCGTTGGTGTCAGTGGAAGGAATGGTTCCCCTGTCGTTGGTGTCAGTGGAAGGAATGGTGCCCCGTCATTGGGGTCAGAAGAAGGAATGGTGCCCCGTCTTTAGGATCAGTCGAAGGGTGTCCATCTTTAGGATCAGTTGAAGGAATGGTGCCCTGCTGTTGGGGTCAGTGGAAGGAATGGTGCCCCGTCTTTAGCGTCAGTGGAAGGAATTGTGCCCTGTCATTGGGGTCAGTGGAAGGAATGGTGCCCCGTCATTGGTGTCAGAAGAAGGAATGGTGCCCCGTCTTTAGGATCAGTTGAAGGAATGGTGCCCTGCTGTTGGGGTCAGTGGAAGGAATGGTGCCCCATCATTGGGGTCAGTGAAAGGAATGGTGCCCCATCATTGGGGTCAGTGAAAGGAATGGTGCCCCGTCATTGGGGTCAGTGGAAGGAATGGTGCCCCGTCATTGGGGTCAGTGGAAGGAATGGTGCCCCGTCATTGGGGTCAGTGGAAGGAATGGTGCCCCGTCATTGGGGTCAGTGAAAGGAATGGTGCCCCATCATTGGGGTCAGTGAAAGGAATGGTGCCCCATCTTTAGGCTCAGTGGAAGGAATGGTGCCCCATCATTGGGCTCAGTGGAAGGAATGGTGCCCCATCATTGGGCTCAGTGGAAGGAATGGTGCCCCATCATTGGGCTCAGTGGAAGGAATGGTGCCCCATCATTGGGCTCAGTGGAAGGAATGGTGCCCCATCATTGGGGTCAGTGGAAGGAATGGTGCCCCATCATTGGGGTCAGTGGAAGGAATGGTGCCCCATCATTGGGGTCAGTGGAAGGAATGGTGCCCTGTCATTGGGGTCAGTGAAAGGAATGGTGACCCGTCCGTGGAAGGAATGGTGCCCCGTCTTTAGCATTAGTGGAAGGAATGGTGCCCCGTCTTTAGCATTAGTGGAAGGAATGGTGCCCCGTCTTTAGCATTAGTGGAAGGAATGGTGCCCTGTCTTTATGGTCAGTGGAAGGAATGGTGCCCTGTCTTTAGGATCAGTGGAAGGAATGGTGCCCCTCGTTGGGGTCAGTGGAAGGAATGGTGCCCTGTCTTTATGGTCAGTGGAAGGAATGGTGCCCCGTCTTTATGGTCAGTGGAAGAAATGGTGCCCCGTCTTTAGGATCAGTGGAAGGAATGGTGCCCCTTCGTTGGGGGTCAGTGGAAGGAATGGTGCCCCTCGTTGGGGTCAGTGGAAGGAATGGTGCCCCTCGTTGGGGGTCAGTGGAAGGAATGGTGCTGCACCCTCGTTGGGGTCAGTGGAAGGAATGGTTCCCCTCATTGGGGTCTGTCACTGAGGGGAAGGGGCAATCTGCTCCAGGTATGAGGTGCTTGCACATGCGTGCAACAACCTCCCAAATCTTCCTGTCACAACCAATTCTCAGACGTTTACAAAGGCAAATCTTTGACACTTCCTCATAGTGCCAAAGCTTGCCCTCCCCTATCTATCTCCTGTACACTCTACTGGTCAGTGAGGTTGTCCATCATGGGAATGGCCGTAGAACACAAGGCATGCTTGGGCACTACCTGCCTAAGGGCTCGTTCACACTTGGCTGTTTTACCAACGCTTGCCAAACGCCCCTATAGCGTTTGGCAAGCGTTGGTCCGGCGTTTGCGGAGCGTTTTTTAACGCTCCGCAAACGCCGCATGCGCGGTTTAACGGTGGTTGCTAGGCGTTTGCCGAGCGTTAAATACGCCGCACAAATGCCTATAATGCAGTTTGAATGGTGTTACCGCTCCGCAAACGCCCCGCAACCGCGTTGCAACCGCACCACAAACGCCGGCCGGGCGTTTGCGGAGCGGCACCATAGACTAGAATAGGAGGCTTCAACGCTTCCTGACTCGACCAGAGGTGTCCGTTTTGCCGCAACATGACGCGACGCAAACGCTCTCATTAGAACAGCACCATGTGCTGTAATGTGCAGAATTGGCAGAGGCGTTTGGGAAGCGGTAAAAACGCTTCCCAAACGTCTCTCTGCCGCCTGCACACAACGCTAGTGTGAATGTAGCCTAAGAGTTGACAACTCAAGATACCAATATCTCTGTTGGTCTAAAAACCCTTCCCTTATAGTCTCACATTGTTACTAGTGCATCTCTTTCCCTAACTTGATGGCTAAGCTCTACCCAGAGATAGTACCTTTCCTGGCTACTGAGGGAGTCTTGTTGGACCCTGGATTGGCAGTTGGAAGGACGCAGCCATGAAGTTAGAGGAAACCAGCCTCAGCTATGAAGTCAAACCATATCAGAGATTGATGCAGAAAAAGCTTTTGCAGGCAATAAAGGCAACAATGTGCATTTTGTGGTCTCTGCTCTTTAGGCGGTGTAGCTGAGTGATGCATTATATAATTTTACCTACTTCATTGTTAAAATCTTTGTGTCTTGATTTTCCCAATGTGCATTTTGATTTACAGATTTGTGCTCTGCTATCCATCTTTTATCCTGTTGAAAATGCTTCAGGAGCAGATGGAAGAATATGTGGAGGTGAGCCGGGAGATTGTCAAGGTCATGGTTTCTGACAACGCAGCAGCTGCTTTGAAGAAGAGCCTGGACTGGCAGGAGGCCATGATCAACTCACTTATAGACACGGAAATGCAGACTTCGGATCTCTTTAGAGGTGCTTATTCTGTCATTATGTTTACCTGTTGTGATATGGAGTGACTAGACTCAATGTGGTGAGCATTTTTAAGTGAGTCCACAGTCAGCCTGAACTTGCGGTTTAAAAGCATGGCAGTCCACTTTTATTAACCCCTTCATGCCTAAGGGTAAAACAAATCTAGATGCCTAAGCACAATTTTGCACCTTTGACATGTGGTAATAAAACCGTACATATCATCACAACTACTTTGTACATCCAGGTGGATTATACTGCGTTTTTTTCAGGACAAATTATGCTTTCATTTGGTGGTAAATTGTAATGGATGTCTCCTGATTTTTTTTTTATTATTGCCAAATGAAAACTGGCCCAAAATAGTAAAAAAAAAAATTGTTTTTTTTTTAATTTAGCTGTGTTTCTTGTTACTATAACCTACCACCAAAGAACAACCCAAAATGTATTCTCCAGCTCTTGACGATCGCAGCGATACCATATATGTGTTTATTTGTTGTTTGTACCCGTAATACAGCCCAGAAACAATAGTACGCATTTTGTTTTTGTCTTTTTTTTTTACCTAAAACACACTGACACTAATACCAATTTTTTTCTTTTTTTTGACCTTGCCCTTTGACACTGACCTTGACCCAAACACTAACCCTGGCACTGAACTAGATCAAACCTTGATCTAGGTTTTTTTTCTTTATTTTTTCTTTTATTTTTTAATATTTATTTTTTTACAAACATTTTTTTTTTCTCAATGCCAGGAGTTAGAGAGATACAATGTATAATAGGATGTATATAATGATACAATGTATCTCTCCTCCATTCATAGAGAGAGAGAAAAAAACAAGGGGGCTGGACTGCACAGTGACTGATCACTGTGATAGCCAATCAGAGGCTATCACAGAGATCATGTGACCCGGAATCGGGAGTCCTGGGTCTCGATCGTTAGAACGGGACCTGGGGCTCTCGGTGACAACGCGGTCTTTGTGCTGGGAGCGCGACATGCAGCGTGCTCCCAGCACAAAGACAGGTATGCAATTATGCGGCCCTACGGAAAAAGCCCAGTTCTGTGAGGCCGCATATTTGTGTTACTTCGGTGTCAAGGGGTTAAAAAGGAAACAAGTCTTAACACCAAGGTTTCAGCGTCACTCAGAAACAGAGTTTGCAGAAAATGCAGAGTCACCTGGCTTTCCTGTCAACAGTGCCACTGCTCTATACATTGGTCCCCCAGACCACGGGTTCTTCAGGCTTACTTAGCCTTTATTCACAGCACCTTACTTTACCAGCCCACTTCTGGCCTGTGGATCCCAGCACTCCAGGCTCTCCCACTCAAGACTTACAGATCCCCTTCCTGGACTCTCTAGTTGCCTCAGCTCTCTCAGGTCCTCTGCTGACCTTCTTAGCTGACCGAACTCTCCTGGTTCTGCGAGCAGGGGAATTTCTCCAACAAGGAGTCTTGTCTCCCCAGACGTTCACCTCTGGCTGGAGCACACCTCTAGCCTCACACACAGACTGTTTCTGAATTGCTGCAATGGCAGTAGCTTTGATCAGGCTTATATGAGCCTTGCACACCTGTGTACTCACCCAGGCTGAAGGTGTCTAGCAAAGCCCGTGCACAGGTTTGAGGATTGAAGGTCCTGTCCTGCTCAAGACACTTCATGCTCCAGGGCCCGATCCAGGACTACCAAAGTTAGTGAAAACTTAAAACGGAGCTTTCTCCGTTTACAATACAATGCTGGAGCTTCTCAAACTGAACCCATACTGTGTCAGGACCTTGCACTTTCACACTTGATTTGAAGTAATTGTGGGCCTCCAAAGTATCTTTATAAAGGTCTACCATCATCATTAATTTGATATGATTTGAAATGGCAATAATGCCAAACGCAAACACACTTTGTTCTTCAAAATATCTAACTAAAAAATATGAATGGGAAACATTACAATTGAATTGCATCATTTTATACAGAAGGTACCCTGAGCACCAGTCTGGGAGTTGCCAAAATGTGGGTTACAAACCAGTCAATTTGCATAGCAGTAGCAGGCAGAGTTTGCTTAGGGTGTAGGATCAATACAGGGGTTATACAGTTAGCTGATTTTCATGCCGTGGGACCTTTGACAACCAGCTTTACAGTTGAAGAGCAGATAAAATAATTAGACAAGAGGAAAGCCATTTGTGGTACAGAAACCTTTATTCCAGCTCTTTCCCAGGATCATGTAAACCTTTAAATAATAATATTTTTTCTTTAACCCCTTGACGCTGGCATCTCCCGGTCCATTAAGGGTTTCAGAAGCCAGGAGGCAGGGTTTAGAGTCATGTGACCGCCGTGACAAGCCGTCACGGTGGTCCTGATTAGAAAGAGGAGATTGGGACCTTTTCGTGGGTACTGGACATGTGTGCTGGGAACACGCAGGGCGCATGCTCTCAGCACATGTCTTTTTTTAATAGAACGCAAATGTGCTGCCGCTCGGTGTCTAGGCCCAGACGCCAGGAGGCCGCACATTTGCATTCGGCCGGCATGAAGAGGTTAAATTAGATGTAAACCTAAGAGCCCGTTCACATCAGAACGCGGTGCAGGAAACCTACATTCCGTGTGCTTTTTTTCACACCGCGTTCAAAACGCGATCTGCTGTGGGTGTCAGTATACTCCTAACGACACCCTGCGTTTAGGATGTCGTTCATATTACAATGACACCCACAGCAGATCGCAAATGCAGTGTGTTTGCCTGTACCATGCAGTCCGGTTACAGTGCTCCTTTAAAAATAGTGTATGCACTACTTTTGGTGCGATCGAATGCGATTTCAGCCCGTTCAGTGAGTGGACTGAAAATCGCATCACACAGGAATTGCCCAGGAACGCAGAGCACGTTTCTGTGCGATTCCTGTGTAAACCAGCACTAACTGGATGCAATTTAGTTTACTAAAACACTATGGGAGTTTTTTAATAAATGCAGACTGAATCTGGAGCTTCTATCTGCAGCTTATTCAGGTAAAGCTGAGTTTCATGTATGGATATTGTTACAAGCTGGACTAATTGTAGCTATGCATATACCATACCTGGCCAATTCCTCAGGAAGCTGGAAATCACTGTAGTAGACACCACTACTATATTGATCTCTACTTGCTTCCAGGTCTTGTGCTGAGCAACTGACCTGCTGCTTACTGCAAAATGTTCTCTAATTGGATGAGGTGGAGATTGTGAGGTAACCTCTCCGTTTCCCCACCACATCCACTCGGAGAATGCTTTGCATTCATTTGAAAATGCAAGCAATCACTGAATGGTGCCCGTGCCAAGTCGGTGAACACCTGTGTACACAATGCAGCAGGGCAGCCGCTTGGCACAGAACCTGGAAGCTAGTGGAGATCACTGGAGCAGTATCGCCTACTACTATAATTTACAGCTTCCAGGGGCATCTCACAGGTATGGTCTATACATAGTTACATTGGTCCAAGCTGTAAATATGTAAAAATATCAATACCTGGAGTTCATCTTTAAGCATTGAAACTGAAAGCTGGAAGCTGATTGGTTGCAATGCACATCTGCTCCAAATTCTGTCTGTTCCAGTCTTAGTAAATTCCCTTCTCTGCGTATCATAAGCAATATTTTTTTTTTTAATAAACTACTATTTTCAAATATTCTTAATCCCTGTTTGTGTTTCAATAGTGCTGATCTCATGCAGTATTTTTTTAGCCACTTCCTCTCTAAATGCACTCTCTAGCATGTGTGTGGGCACAATCACTTGTAGCGTCCAGGGGTGCACGTGATAGGGTCACAAAGCAGGAATTTGGGAGACATTTGTCATAGCAAGAAGCACCTGAACAATGACCTTCATGACAGGATCATCCTGTATTATTTTAATTAAATTTGGAGGTTTAAACACATTGAGGGTTATTTACTAAAATGTGAGAGTGCAACATCTGGTGCAGCTCTACATAGAAAACAGTAAGCTTCCAGCTTTTATTGTCAAAGCTTAATTGAAAGTTAAAGTTGAAATTAGAAACTGATTGACTACCATGCACGGCTGCACCAGATTTTGCACTCTCAAGTCTTAGTAAATAACCCCATTGAAAACATTTTAATGATTGAGTTTAGGTCCATTTTAGTTTTTTTTTCTCACTCTTACTGTGCTGACCTTCATTTTCTGCTTTGAATAAATTCAGGTTATTACTAGGACACATAGAAAACAATTGCTTTCTATGTACTCCATTCATACCACCATGCTGGGGTTATGTGTGTTGCAGTGCAGTGTGCAAAAATGCAGCAGGTCTTCATTCTTACACAGCACAGTGGATGGCACCACATGTCGCCAGACAGCAATGTAACGCATTGTGCTGCTGTGCAGTGACATGAATATGAATGAAGTGTTACCATGTGGCACTTCAAATAAAGTTAAAAAAAAAAAAGCAAGAAGTGCAATGTGCTGAAACATGTATTGCAGAGTTGCCTACAGCTGACATTGACTCTAACTTTAATCTATGTTATTTTTGTTTTCTTTCTTTTGAAATCTTTAGATATTCTGTCAGTAGAAGAAAAAGTTGCACACACCTTTCTCGAAACAGAAGAGACCAGGCAAAAAGTGTCATCCAAACTTCATAAGATTGAGCGGGAGCTGCAGGATGTCTGTGAGAAAAACACTTCAGTAGAAACCAACATAAAATATATCCTTCAGACCAAAGTAGTGTTCCTTTAATGTACAAAAGCCCCGATTTTACAAGGTATTATACACTGATCAGCCATAACATTAAGACAACTCACAACCCATCAAGACATGGACTCCACTGGACCTCTGAAGGTATGCTGGGGTATCTGAGTCTAAACCATTAGTAGCAGATCCTTTAGGCTCTTTAAGTTGCGAGGCGGGGCCTCCATGGATCGGACTTGGTTTTCCAGCAGATCTGATAGATGCCCAATTGGACTGAGAGCTGGAAAATTTTTAAGTCAAGTTGACACCTTATTGTGTTCCTCAAACCATTTCTAAATTCATCAGACCAGGCCATTGTCTTCCATTTCTCCTGTAGTCCAGTTCTGATGCTCATGTGCCCATTGTTGGAGCTTTTGGCTGTGGACATGAGGCACGCTGAATGGTTTGCGGCTATGCCGCTTCATATACAAAAGACTGTGATGCACGGTGTGTTCTGACACCTTTCTGTTGGAAACAGCAGCAATGTGAACTTCAGTATCTCTTCTATTGGATTGGACTACACAGGTCAGCCTTTGCTCTCCATTTGCATCAGTGAGCCTTGGCCTCTCATGGCCTTCTTGCTGGTAGGTCCTGACTACTGCAGACCAGGAACATCTCACAAGAGCTGTAGTTTTGGAGTGTCTCTGACCCAGTCGTCTCGCCATTACAATTTGGCCCATGTGAAAGTCACTCAAATCTTTTTCCTTGCCCATTTTTTTGCTTTCAACACATAAACTTCAGGGACAACATGTTCACTTTCTGCCTAATATATCCCACCCAATTTCAGGTGCCATTGCAATGAGATAATAATTGTTATTCACTTCACCTGTTAGTGGTCATAATATTAGGGCTGATCAGTGTATGCAACCATAAGAAAAAATGCAGAACATTCTTTGTTAAATGCTGAAAAATGTTATTACTTATGGCACCTAAGCAATGGTTTACCTTTGTTTTATAGCTGGTGGTAGAAGGCTGTCCCGAAACTGGAACTTGAATTGGATTTAGTATTCCTCCTTGATTTTACAAGAGTAATGTAAAGTGTAAGATTTGTGGTTTGATGCTTTCATCAGACCACTCCTGTCTGATCATTGCTGATCTATACCTTGATGTGATTGGCATATTAATTTATCCTTCCCTGCCCAAACAGGGAAAATGGCCTCTAATAGTCCTTAAAGCCCAACAACAGTTACAAGAAGAAACAATAGCCTTGCATTCTGCAGTCGCCCAGGAGTAAAGTAGTACAGTGTTACACTTTTATTATTCTTCACTCTGGCAGGCTCCCTCCCTCTGTGCAACCGGTCCCCCACAGCCTCCCCTTTAAGCCGCTGTTGGCCATGGTTGCACTCTTTCCTCGTCACATAAAATGTAGGTGTAATGCATTGTATGCGATAATGTCGAGGGCATGTCTGGAAGGGAGGAGAGAAGACGAGAGTGGTAAAGGCTCCTTCACATGTACAGTGGCCTTTGAAGAGCAATCTCTATTGGATCTCTCTTTAAACAGCATTTGACAGGCGGAGAGGAGGTTTTATGTCCCTTTCTCAATGCCTGATTTAACCCTGTAAATGCTGCACTACTGCATTTTTGCATTCCAACATCTCTAATACATTTTCCTTTACATAAAATAAATGTTAAAAAAAAAACTAGCAGGGAGAATTGGAACCCTTGGAAATGGGCACAGCAGGTGTGCAGACCATGGAAATCTCTCCAATAGAGATATAAATAAAAACTCTTAGAGCCAATTCACACTATATGCGTTGACAGACATTTTACCACATGGTAAAGCATCTGTCATCACAGGGACACAATGGAAATAATGGTTTCCTATGTGTCCCATTCACACTGCAACGCAGCCTAGTGCTGCGCTGCAGCATACTGCGGTAAAATGCGGACATGCTGCCCGAATTGTGCTATTGCAGTGTGCTGCCCAACATTGCAGTGAATGGTAGGTTTTTTACACTTCAACAAAAAAAAGGAGGGGGGGCAGTGCAAAGTGCTGAATCACCCTCCCCCCGATGCAACCAGTAATGCAGAGCGGCCGCTGCGGCTGCTCTTCAATTTCTTGGATTTTAGGGGTGAATTCACCCTCAGGTGATTAAAGCTTAACTAAACTTTCAGTTTACATCAGGTAAATATATTCCAGGTCAGTAGAAAAGCCTGTCCCCTACCAGCAGCTTTTATTCTGAAAAATTTGTAGAAAAAGTTGTGCCTTCAGTTTTACTTGAATTTGAAAGTTCAATTTGGCTTCAAAGTAATACTATTACTATTATTATTATTATACAGTATTTATATAGTGCTAAAAGGTTTGCTCAGCACTGTACATTATAGTGGGGGACAGAACATGAGACAATACAGTAAGAAAACAAAACACGAGGGGTTCGAGGGCCCTGCTCTTTCGAGCTTACAATCTAGCCCTTATCTTCCTTACTTTTCAAAAATCCATACACATCCAATACTTAAGGGCCTGTAATCTATTTTTCATGAATTTTTTTTTTACTGTGTTTTTCTGCCTCGTGTTCTCCGTGAGCTGCCAAATTCCTCCTTTTCCCCTCTACTTCCTTTTGTTTGGAATGAGTCGTGCACATCAGTTGTGGTCATGTACATTGCTCTAGGCACACTACGCATTCCATAGTCAATCTCATGAGCGAGAAAGAGAGGGTGGCTAGGCTTTTACTTTCAGTGGGACTATAGAGAACAAACGTAGCCATGCTCTAACAGGAAGTCAGATCCCAGCAGCAAGAGAAAGGAATTTGGGGGAGGGTGCCAGCAAAAGAAGGGACTATTTTGAGTTCAGAATACATACTGTAATATGATATATTTTAAACCAGAGTTTCCCATCACTTTAAACAATCCTCTACCACAAATCAGAAATAGTCATGCTTGGACAGACCTATGTAGTAGGCTCTCTATTTTACCCTGGTGGTGCATATATTGGAAGACAAATCTCTGTGTCAGACCTAATGGAAAGGTGTGTAAGCTGGTGAGGTGGGGATATTGTTTCATACTTTTTCCCTACACTGAAAGAATTCTTTGAAGATGACATGCCTCTTGAAGTGCAGGTCAACTTATACCTGCAGCTTTCTTGGTTTAAAGCTGGAAAACCTTATCCCTCCGTTAGAAAATAACAAGCCTTTTGATTTCTGTTTTTCCACTGACTGATTTCTTCTGGCTCGGATTTCCACTGTCCTTTAATTATGTGGTGGCTAATCAGTTGTTTTATATGTTTTTAATTTGTGAAGTTTGCTTTTCCTGAACATTGCCACATTCCTCCAAAAGGAGATAGAAGACTTGAAGCTCCTGGAAGATGAAGTTGCAGAGGTAGAGCGAGAAGCTCAGGAAGACACCACTGTAGTCATCCCCTCAGCCTTGTGAGTTCTGTCATTATCAAAAGGGAATTGCAGGCGGAAAATGACATGTTGCATCACATATGTAAAGTATATACTATTTGCCTAGACCAGTGGTGGGCAACCTTTTTTTTCAACTGAGCCAAATCTCGCCAAAACCACGATTGAAATTTATTTTGAGAGCTTTGAAAACTGAAAATACATCCCCCATATAGTAATTCATCCCCCATATAGTAATTCATCCCCCATAGTAATTCATCCCCCATATAGTAATTCATCCCCCATATAGTAATTCATCCCCCATATAGTAATTCATCCCCCCATATAGTAATTCATCCCCCATATAGTAATTCATCCCCCCTATAGTAATTCATCCCCCATATAGTAATTCATCCCCCATATAGTAATTCATCCCCCATATAGTAATTCATCCCCCATAGTAATTCATCCCCCCTATAGTAATTCATTCCCCATATTGTGTCAATTCACTTACCTTTGCTCCGCGCAGTCCTCTCGCCATGTTCCCGCGCCGTTCCGGTCTTCAGGGCGGACTGTGAGAGGAGAGGAGTTCGTCACGCTGCCCCGCCTACATCCTGACAGCCAATGTTTGCCACGCTCCGCGGGCCGGATTAAAAGGTCCGCCGGGCCGTAGTTTGCCCATTGCTGGGCTAGCTGCAGAGTCCTGACTTTTGGGGCGGCCGCCCGAGAGGAGGGAGGGGAGCGGGCGCCCGGCACACAGAAGAGCCGCATTAAAGTGTGTAAAGAGCCGCATGTGGCTCGCGAGCAGCGGCTTGCCGACCACTGGCCTAGACCACCTTATTTTTTTTTTCGTAGCACTACAAAAAGGGCTGTAATAAAGGGGTCAAAATATGTTTGTGCAGAACACTGCTGTGTTACTTAGGCAGGAATTCTGCTTTAAGCAAAACCTGCATAACACTAACTGTGTTTAAAAAATGCCCCCTACCCCCTCCTGCAACATACTACATATGCTACAAAAAATGTGTATACTTCTTTATTTTCAGCCCGCTGCTGTCTGGTCACGTGATCCGGCTCCCCTGTGTCAGTCAGAGGCTGCTGCAGTGGAAAGGAGGGAGACTCGACAATGGTTGGGACATGCCAGCCTATAGGTGATTTCACCGCTCCTGAAGTTCCCAGTTGAACACTCCCTCTTTTCCCCTGCAGAAGCTGCTGACTGACATGAGGGATCATGTGACCAAACTAGAGCAGACTGAAAATAGGCAAGTACATACATCTTTCTTATACAGGTCAGGTAGAGGATGGGAGGAAGGGGGCATTTTTAAACATAGTTAGAATTACACTTTAAGGGTTCATTCTTACCTGCAAATGCACCCTGCCTCCAAATGGATGCAAGAACCCCCACAGAGGTTCCTGGCGATCAGCTGTGGGAGGTAGCCCCACAGCTAATTGCGGCCACTCACGTGTGTTCTCTCATGCAGCCATTGCATGCAAGTGAATAGCCCTAGATGCAGGCAGTCTGCGTTTCAGGCTGATCAATCACATGTGATCGCTGCATGAGCAATTACATGCAAGTGGCCATGATTAGTTGCGAGAGCCAGCAGCCTCCTACTGCTCCTCACCCAAAAGCACACCAGGGTGAGTTTGGGGACATGCACCTGCAATGCTGTCACATTGGGACACAGTGGTTGTGTTTGTGCATCTTCCTGACCCATTAGACATCTATGGGACTGCTGGCGTGGTGATGCATGTAGCACCTGTGCATCCCCATGCTGGGAAAACATGGCCCTGCATGGACAACGGAAGTAATTGTCCTCAAGAACGAGGCCATAGAGGACTTCAAATGCAGTCCCTGATGTCTCCAAAGGGCAGCATACACCGTGTGTTTCAAAAAGAATGGCCCAATTTTAAAATCTTATATCAGTGCAACCATGTACCACCAATGAATGAAACCTGTACTATTCGAACAGGCATGGCCTAGAATTTCAGATGATATAGATACTACTACTAGCGCCCAAATAGACACTAACCTCAGTCATTAAGAAGATGGCATCTATGGAACAGAAGGCGTTTTGTGTTCTACAATTTAAAAAGACTGAGTGTATAATTACGATGCAGCATGCTTTTCGACAGCGTTTTGGGATTGATCCAGCAGTGGCAAAGAACATTCGTCGTTGGTATAAACAATTTGAAGAATCGGGGTGTTTATGTAAGGGGAAAAGTCAAGGGTGACCCCACACCTCAGAGGAAAACATGCAACGAATTCAAGAGCCTTTTCAGTGAAGCCTGCAAAAGTCCGCTCGTCATGCTAGGCGAGAACTTGCGATCCCTCATACAACTGTTTGGTTTGTGTAAAGATGACATTTGCTTCTGAAGCCATAACGATTGCAACTGGTGCAAGATCTTCCTGTAAGTGACAGAAGAAAATGTTTAAATTTCTGTCATTTGTTTGTTCTTAGACGACATGGAGGGCAACTGATTCTTAGCACTGTTGATTTTTAGTGATGAAACAACATTTCATCTAAGCTGTAAAGTTCCACATCACAGTGTTCGCATATGGGGACTTGAGAAGCCACACAAACTTGCACAGCATGAGTGAGACTCACCTAAAATTAATGTGTTTTGTGTGTTTTCATTTAAAAAAAAATGTATGGCCCTTTCTTTTTTTGAGGGGAACACTGTTAAGGGACATTCCTATCTTGAAATGTTGAAGGGCTTTTCCTACAACCTAATGAAGACTCTGAAGATTTCTTTTATCAGGAAGACGTAGCCCCACCACATTGGAACAGCTAAGTTTGTCGGTTTCTATCATTACACCCTGTGACTTTTTCTTGTGAGGATATGTAAAACAACGTGCTTATGTTTCACCATGATCCACTGACACTCTCAAACACATTGGGAGTGAATTCAGCTATCATCTTGATGTAATCCATGCAGCAGATGGAGGGCACATAGAGCATTTATAACATGGTGAGTGAAACCTGAGGACTTGCTTATTAGTTTGTAATTTGTTATACAACTGTAACAAACTTTCATTATTAAATATAACTATTTGAAATTGGATCATTCTTTTTGAAACACACTGTATATTTATTATGCAATGTGATTTTAAAGAAGACTCATTAGGGGAGATTTACTAAAACTGGGGCAGTCAAATCTGGTGAAGCTGTGCATGGTAGCCAATCGGCTTCTAACTTCAGCTTGTTCAATTAAACCTTGACAATACAACCTGAAAGCTGACTGGTTTCTATGCAGAGCTGCACCAGATTTTGCACTTTCAGTAAATAATCCCTCTAGACTGAAGACTTGCTAAAGGAAATGGCGAGAGACTGTTCTACAGGATTGGTGGAAGACTGAAGTAATGCTGAAGGAGACTAGGGACATGTTTAATGAAACTGCTAGAGATTACTGTTATCAAAGGCCCCTTTAAAAATCATCACTCCCACCACTGACTGCTGGGGCCTGAGGACCGTACTAAGGTCCTGGAGGTTGTAGAAAGCTTAAATCTGTAGATATTATTGCTTTTTCTAATAATAGAAAAAAGGGGAAGATAGAATACAATTCTTTATGTTCTTTCCAGGTACATGGCAAAATTGTTCCATTCTGTAACCAAGATCGATTGGGATTACAACTGTGACTCAACACTCATCAAGGGCAGTATCCTTCCACTGTAGTGTGACTTGTGCTGCATTTTTTTCCCTATGAGGCCATTGAACATAAATTAAAAGTATATTTATGTAAAACTGAAATTTGTTAAACACACATAAGAATTTTCTAGAGTTTATCAAAGCTGAAGGCATTTAAGGTGAAGCTGGCTGGTGAACACATTCAGTATTCACTTTGGCTCAGGCAGGGAGAAGGAGAAGCAATACATGGAACATACTGTCAGCAGGGGAGTAGAGTGACAGACAGAGGAGCTCATCAGTCTGCTGCTTCTCCTTTCCACTGTCCAAGATAAGAAGTGTTACTTAACTGCATCAAAGAAAAATAAGTTCCCATATATGTATTTCATCTTTGTATTTACCTGTTTGCATAGAGCTGGAATTTAAAATGCTGTAGTAGTAGCACTCTTTTTTGTGCTGACGATGTCACTTTGCAAACAGGTAGTTCACCATCTTGGCATTCACTTTTAATTTTCTGCTTCTGACAGATATGCTTGTGCTGCAGACATTACTAACCCTTTTGCGCCGGCCATACGCAAATATGAGGCCTCTCGGTTGGCCTTGACGTTGCATATTTGCGTACCGAAATGTAAACAAACGTGTGCCGAGAGTGCCCGCCCTGCACGCTTCGGGACAGTTATTGTGCTTAACAGCTCCCAATCGCTACTTGCGATCCAGAGTTTTTTGATCATGTGAACGCTTTGACAACCAATCACGGCGGTTACACGATCATAAACCCTGCCCTGCCTCCTGGCACCAGAAGCCCCTTAAAGGGCTAGGAGGCGTGGCGTTCAGGGGTTAATGCAAAAAAATCAGTAACAAAATCTAGCAAAAAGGAAAAGGAGTTGTTTGACAGAAGAGAAAAACTACAAGTCTAATCTACCAGAAAATGTGCATACTACGGAATAGTTCAGTTTTACAGAGAAACTGAAGCTGTGCCTGAAAAGGAAGGGAAAGAACAAAGGACACCGGTATTGATCTTTTGCCTATAAGGGCCTGTGTCAATGGGCTTGATGGTCAAATTTGCTTTCCCATAGACTTGTTAAGGGAGTGAAGCAGTTATGAAGCGTACAAAAACCTATAGACACAGGCCGTTACTTAAGATGCCTTGTTCTGCACTGTGTCTTTCTGTGGCGGTGACCATCTTGGTAGATGCAGGGCTTTGCTTTCTCAGGTTATAGCCTCCAGCAAGGAGAACAGTGAGCAGCAGAACAGTGGCATCACCAAACCTTCTGAGACTAGCAATCAGAGACAGCTGTGCCTTAGACCTGCATGGGGAATGAAGAAGTTCGAAAGCAAACAAAAGCCCATGGACATACTCCCTTACTAAAACCAAACAAAATATTCCTGTCAACTCTATACAGGTTGAAGGACCCAGAATAAGTTCAAATAGTGGTCCAGAAGCATCTCCTTTTCTATCTTGTGGAACCAGATAAATGACAGTCACCACAGGGAGTCTAGATACCACTGGCTTTGCTGCCCACTTCTGATCAGAGAATGCCAAACTGAAACAAAAGCAAAAAGAAGAATGCGTACCGGCGTAGTGCATTACCAGAAACCTTTTATTATTACAAAAAAAAATCCAATGTACTCAAAAAAGTACAGGATAAATTACCTGCAACACAATCCAGTCCAGTCCCAACTCCGATGAAGAGGGCACAGCCTTTGAAACACGTAAGTTATGCCTCTGTGGATGGACGCGATTACAGTGTTGGAACTGGACTCTACTGTGCTATTTTTCCTGTACTTTTGTGAGTATATTGCAAATTGTTTTAATAATAAAAGGTCTTTTGGTAATGCACTAGGCCGATGCACTTTCTTCTTTTTGCTTTTGTCCCCCCCAACAAAAAAAAATAAAAGTCAGCAGCTACAAATCCTGTATCTGCTGACTTTTAATTAAAAGACAGTCGCCTGTCCTGGGATTCAGGTTCTTCACCAGCCTTCGGGTCCCTGGTGCTGCCATGCTAACAGTGGGAAAGCTTGCTGTGACTCCTTGAGGCTTCACAGCTGCTGGCTCCCCGCTGACTAGGTGAATGGTACCGCAGCTTCCTGGGACCTGTATCGTGTTCTAAGGTGAAAGTGGGAGTGGGTACCTGTCAAAACCAGGGACCACTTCCCCCAAAAAAGTGTCCAAAATTTCAATAGGTTAGGAAGGAGGCAGAATCGCAAAACTTCCCTTTTGAGGTGAAGTTCTGTTTTAAGATGCCTTGTTCTGCACTGTTTCTGTGTGGAGACAGCCATTTTGGTAGAGGCAGGGTATTCTTTTCTCAAGTTAGTCTCCAACAAGGAGAACAGTGAGCAGCACAGCAGTGACCAAAGCTCCTTGGACTAGCAGTCAGAGAGAGCAGTGCCTTAGAGTTCACAGTGCAGATTTATAGCTGTAAGGCTGTGTGCACAGGTATGCCTTGGCACAATCACATACCAGGAAACCCACTGCTAATTTTTTTAGGAACAAGGTAGTTATGTCTGCGCACAGATTTAAACCTGGTACACATGGGTCGAATATTGGCCGTTCAACAGAAGCCATCCGACATTCGACCTGTGTGTACAGCAACCTATCTGACAGAAGCCAGCCGAATATCCGGCTTCTGCCGAACAGGTATGCTGAAAAAACAGCTGTCGATCAGCGCTATCAGCCAATGGTTGCGTGTGTTGACTGCTGTGTTCTGGCGAAGGGGCAGAACACAATACCACAGCAGGGAGATTGCTGTACTAACCTTTCTTTTTAAAAAAAACACTTAGTGTGTACCAGCCATGATATTTACTGGTGCTCTGCTTTGTAACATATTCCATATTTTTTCTTTAACTAAATCTTTAAGTCCACTACGGAGGAGAGATTGCTCAACCCATCTGCATTGACAGCACCCAGCACTCAAAGATTTTCATCTGCGATTACCTATGGAGTCTTCTGTCCACTGAATGGTGACTGTGTGGATGGAGAGTGTTTTTATAATATTCCACAATACACATCAGAATTCCAGTGTGACGTATAGATGTTGGGAACATAAATTTTAAGTATTCACTTCCTTCTGTATGTACATATTTGTGAATATTCTTGTTCATTGTATATCTTAGTTTAGCTTACCCATTCAGTTAAAGAATTTACAGGGCAAACAGTCCTTTGACAATTGTCTTCATGGTCAACAGGCTGAATTTCTCTGTGCCATGTTGTTTTACTGATGACTGGCTGCCTCTACCATGAAGGGGAGTTTTGATAACTGTTCCATGAATATGGATGCCAAAGGATACTTAAAATAAATCTAAACCTAAAAACAAAAATGAAATGTATTGCAGCTTATCAATCCTTAAATGTGGTGGTTGCACTTAGTTTCTGTTTTCAGACTTAAGTACATTTTCTACTAGTACATAAATACTCTACTGATAGAAAGCAAATGTCCTTGTAATTTCTTGTGAAATGAACTGAGATCAAAGATCAAGCAATATAATTGGTTTTCCCAGCTATTTTCTGTGAACTACACAACCTCTTCACCTTGGGGATAAGGAGAGGGTGAGGTGTTTTCGATCGAAATCAGTAAAGTAGCATACGGTGACAGCATTGCTTCTCCATAGATACAGTACAGTAAGTGAGTTTTGTCACCCAAGGACAGGAATTGTGTTACTGGCAGGATCACCAGGTCAAAATAAGGGGAAAATGCAGGAAAATGAAACCTAATGGCAGCCATCACATCTAAAAGATGGTAATCAATATATTACATGTTTTGTTGTTGGGTTTAGATTTTAACTGCAGGTTGTCTCAGCTCCAGTCTTCCACTATCCTCATCATTTTGGGGCGGAATCCTCCTTTATTGTACCCTCAGCGTATCTATTTAGCGTTATCAAAAACTAAAATTGGACTTTAATGCATCTATTTAAAGAAAGAATTTAGATGGCTAAAATGAGGAATCTGTAGCTAGGTGTATAAGCGTTACAGAGGGTAGTTTTATTTATTGTGTGCAGTGTTGCCTTTCTGTTCTGCCGCTGCCAGCAGTTTTATTTGGACAGTTTTGTAAATAAAATTAAATGGTTCTTACCTGTTTGTTTCCATCATCTGTAAAATAATGTAAGGCTTGGTCCACCTATGCGTCTAGATTGTTTCTGGCAAACCTAAAGTGTACCTTACTGAGCGCAGACACTACAACTAGGGTATTGACATGTAAGGTCTGTTTTCAGTTTAAAGTGGTTGTAAGCCTCAGATGTGAAATATAAACAAAGCATATCCCTCTATAGTGTATACTTGTCTCAATCTGTTCCTGTGTGCTGTGCGAAGAGGGTGTGTCCCTTCCCTCCAATCAGCTCTCAGAACTCTCTTCACTGAGCTCTGCAGAGTGTAACCTCAGCTCTCTGTACCCTTTTTTCTGAACTCTCAGGCAAGCTGTCACAAATTAGCCTGCAGCCTCTTGTGTGATTCTTACCTCTTTGCTGCTCTTGATTCCTTCACGTGTGTTTGTCTGTGCTCACCTGTGGGTGTCGTCTGCTATCCTTTGGGTTTTATGTCCTTCCCTTTCATCATTTTCCTGGCCAGCCTCCTAGCTGGCTTGTCTATTTAAGACATGCTCAGTCTGTCCCACTTTGCCTGAGCAACTTTGTGCTGTTGGAGCTCCCATGTGGTTCTGCTGTGAATCCTATGTTATCTATCTGTGTACCGACCCCGGCTTCGTTCCTGATCTTGCTTGTTTTCCACCTGTCCTGACCTTGACTTGCCCATTGGATTCCCTGTGTCTTCTCCTGTTGTACCCTGCTCCCGCTAGTGGTCTCCTCCACCTCAGCTGGGTGTACTTGAGGGCCGCGACCTTGTCCCAGCCTGCTGCAAGTCCATCCCCACCATCAGGGGCCCTGGTGAACAAGCAGGCTGGGGCTTAGACTCTGCGCCCTGGGGAACCCCAAGCTGTGGATCTATAGAGCTCACTACCATAGGCGTGACACAAGCTTTATAATTCAGCAGTTTGAACGGATGTAAAGAAGAGAGGGCTGCAGATAAACAGATAAAACTTTTGTAGGAGGATTTGTTTAATCTCTGTGTATCACCTGAGGCCAATGACTTCACTGGGTATATGTAAGGGTTTACAGCCATTTTAAAGCTGAAGTTTAATCTGCTTGTATTTTGCCTTTCCTGGTTTCTGCCCCCCAATACCAACCATTAGCATTCTATTATCATCGCAAAGCTCATTTTAGACCCAGTGACATATCTTTCTGTGCTTCCCTGTGCAATGCAGGCAGATCATAAACTGGTGGAATGAGCTGGCAAGGTGCTATACATGGCTTCCTGAAAACATCACAGCATTCTGTCATTTCTCTCAAGAGTGCTCAAGCCTTGATGTAAGAAGTGGGTTGGCTTTTAGGAGGACTTACACAAATATCAAAATCCCTATGGTGGGTGGATGTCAGTCTAGAGGAGTGGGTGCTTCGAAGCAGGCTGTATTTTAATGAAAGCAGCCCACATGTGCTGCTTGAGCGTCTTTGACTAACTGAACTGAAATCCAATAAATAGAAGTGGTGGGTCAGGGCAAGTAAGGCAGGGAAGGAAAGGACTAGATATTGGATGTCATGTAGCCAGAGAACGAGGCGGGCTCTATCTAACTTGCTGCAGCTTCTAATGCACATAAAATGAAAAGGTGAACTAACACTCTACAGCCTCCCTACCCCCCTGGTTCCTGCTGTACTTACCTCCATGGGGGATGAGCTGTCAGTGCCCACAAAGCCAGTGTAGCAGTTGGGGAATTTTAAATCCCTGCTGTTCTCATCCTTCTTTCTGTAGGGCTTCCTGGAGAGATCAGAGCGATTCTCTGTGCCAGCACTGACTAAGGCAGTAAGTGCAGTGGGGACCAGGGGTGGGGGTGGGGGGAGTAGAGAGGCTGTTGGGTGTTAGTTTACCTTTTAATTTTTTTCTGAAAAGCTGAACTTGTACTTGAAATACCAGAGAGTAAAGAAGTGGTGCCCAGTATTGCATGTAGGCTATTTGCAGCTGATATTTTCCTCATTACTGACATACTATTCATTGTTCTGCATATTAGAGCTGCTGCACTTATAACTGATGATGGGTGCGATGAAAATTTCATTCCACAGAATGAATCAAACAGAAACAGGGAGATCCTTGCACTACAGCATCTAATTTACAGCTTCCTCTCCAACAAGGAGAGAACAGTGAGCAGCAATGAGTCTCCTGTCTATATGGATTGTGTACTGGCTTTGCTGTGCTTTTAATGGATTTAATAAAATACAAAATTGTTTGTGGGTCTGCTGATCTACTTTGGATATGCTGCTTCTCTCTTGGTAGAGATCCAATCCAAACCCCATCGAAAGCTTCTGGTGAGCTAGTTTTGTTCTTTATAGGCTGCAATTCATACCTGAGTATTTTGTAGCTCGAAGCTACAAAACACTAAACCATAAAAAAAAAAATATTCTCTATAGTGCTTGTTCACACCTGTAGCTCAAAGTTCCACATTCCTGTAGCTCAAAGTTCCACATTCCTGTAGCTCAAAGTTCCGGAGCTTCTTTTGTAGCTCAAATTAGGCAAATTGCAGCATTTTGAGTCCAATAGAATTGCATCGGTGTTTGTAAAAACACGCAATACGCACCTATTAACCCCTTGACGCCGATGTCACAAACAGAACTGGGCTTTTTTCCATGGGGCCGCATATTTGCATACCTGTCTTTCTGCTGGGAGTGCGCCTCACAGCGGGCTCCCAGCACAAAGACCGGGGTGTCACTAAAAGCGATCGGGACACGGGACTCCCGATTCCGCGTCACATGATTGCTGTGCATGAAAAAAACTAAATGGGCACTATTGTTTCTGGGCTGTACTACGAGTACAAACAATAAATAACATACACTTATATGGTATCACTGTGATCGCCAAGAACTGGAAAATTTATTTTGGGTTGTTCTTTGGTGGTAGGTTATGGTAGTAACAAGAAACACACCAATATATTTTTTACTATTTTGGGCCATTTTTTCTTTGATAATTAAAAAAAAAAAATCATGAGATATCCATTACCATTTACCACCAAATTAAAGCCCAATTTGTCCTGAAAAAAAGCGTGGTATAATCCACCTGGATGTACAAAGTAGTTGTGATGATATGTATGGTTTTACTAACACATGTCAAAGTTGCAAAATTGTGCTTAAGAGTTAAGATTTGTTTTACCCTTAGGCGTGAAGGGGTTAAAGCTGATATGTCAACACAGCAACAAGTGATGTCAGAGATGATACTGTTCTCTATTGGCTAATACAAAATTGCCAGAAGCGCAAATGCTGCAACAAAATGTACGACCACACGTGCGAAAAAATGCGATGCTCAGCTGTAAATGCAATGCAGCTGAAAAAGTTTAAAAATTAATTTCAAATTGACAGTGCTATATTAGTACCTATAATAAAATAAATAATATTAAAACATTATAAAACACAAATCAATGTAATTATCAGACATGGAAAAATTATTTTTTAATTATAGTTGCATCAATGTATTTAATGCCATGAGCAGAGAACGGTTAGGCAGGATCCATACATATATTTATATATTTACAACATAACATATACATTTATTTACAGCAACTAGGCAAACAAAAACACCCGCAATACATTTATTCAGCAAAATGTTCTCAACACTACAAGGAGTTGTTAGGTCACATTGGGCTTTGTGTATGAAGAGTTCTTGGCTCATGTAACAACCATATTCTGTAATTTTCATGGTGTAGATTTGAAAATGCATCAAGGGATCCAGTGGCTATGGGGAAGTAAAACGTGGTTCCTTTTTATCATTTTACATCCATCCAGCCAATTATGATGGCAGATAGTCATGCTCTGAAACTACATTGTACTTTACATGTGTTGACTTTCTCAGATGGCTTCTCTTCTTGAACAAAGTACATAACAAGAAGACAAATGTTCACTTGTTCTTGCAGCCAGGCAACTAGTAAATATAGGAAA